AAGCATTTTAGTATAAAATTGTAGGAATATATTATTCACATATGTTCCTAATCACAATGCTTTAGGGACACAGATGAAGAGAGAATATTACGTGTATTGTTATTTAGGGGTGAGAAAAAATCGCATCGCAACTAAAATTAACCGCAAAAACCGCAACCGCAATAAAAACTGATGATGGAGTTTTATGTTTTTCAAAAACCGCAAATTTGCGGTGCAGTGCGGTTATCAGTTTTCAAAAAACGCAAAAAAACCGCACCGAACCGCATATATTATATACAACTTTTTTTTATTAATTATTACTATATTAAATATTAAAAATAAGACAAGTTTTATGGATGAAAGATAGATAAAATACTAGAAGACAAGAGTGTTATTTTTTGTTATGTTTAACTTTGAAAAAATAGTAAAAATAAACAATTTTAAGATTTTTATTGTTAATTACTACCGATTTGATATTTTTTAAGATATTAGTTGTTTGTGATTTAAGTTAATTGTCTTATACCTTATGGTTTTTTTATTATTAAAAGTAATATGTTTGAACTCTTAAAACCGTTTGAGCTCTAAACTGTGGTTAAAAACCACATAAAATAATCGCACCAAATCTATGTGGTTATTAACCGCAACACACACACACACAAAAAAAAAAAAAAAACACCGCAAAAATAACCGCACCAAACGATTTGGAAATGGATTAACCACGTTTATAGTTAGTAATAAAGTTTTGGCTAATAATTGCACCGAACCGCACCGCATTCACTCCTATTGTTATCAACTTAAAGTTTTGTAATTTTGATATACAACTTATCTAGACCCAACTAGCTTGAATTTTATCACATAAATTTGGAGATGGGCATCATGGGCACTTCAAGTGGCCGTTATCTACACATTTTGAAACAACAAACAAAATGCCACTTATTGGCCACTTTAAAGTGGAAATTTCAGCTCCTTGTTATGGTTCAAGTGTTCATTTCACTTTTTTGGTTTTAAATGATGTTACTATAGAGCTAGTTCGTATAGTTTTCACCTCAACCGATTTTGATGAATTTTCTTTATTTAAATCATCATTTTGGTCTCTTGAAAATGATGTGTAACCCCGTTTTGATTTTTAGACATCCTAATCTCCTATCTTAGTCCATAGCACGTGTAGTGTGAATGTCTACACAAGCCTACAACAGTCAATGACCCCTATAAAGGCTAACACGGGCAAGGCTATGTGTCTCAAAATGGGTCACTTGACTTACTTATTTTTTGTTATTATTATAAAAAGTTATATAAAATTAAAATTTTGAACCACCTTAAATATTTATGTGAACCACTTAATATTTTTGGCTAAAACAAATGTATAACTAATTTATTTAACTTAAAATTTTCAAAGCCCATATTTTATATTTTAATAGCCCAACTAACTAATTTATTTAAGAAGTAATCCAATATGAAATAACCTTAAATTTAAATAAAATAAAATAAAAGTTGTTTGTCAATTAGAAGACGTTAATTTCTTCTCCAATACTCTGATTCCCACTTCACACCTTCATAAATGGTTGATCATCGACATTTGTTGTCTTTTGCAGATAGGCTCTCCTTCGCCACAACCGACAACGGTTCTAGTCTTCGACAATCTTCCCTTCTCAACGTCATTTTTTTTTCAACCTATAATTCAATGATTAGAGGTAAAAGGTTCACCGCGTCATTGTGTGTACGGGCTTTTTACTATTGTTATTATTATTTCATATAAACGGCTCACGTGATAGTAACATGTAATGTTACCAACATGATTTGTTTATTATGTTTTGTCATTAGCATACAAGTATTATTTTTATGAAAATATATCAAGATATAAGACCTCTTTGGATACAATTGTAAGAACTTTAAATCTTTTTTTCTTATACGATGCGACATGAATCCAAACCCACGATTATTTTTTTTTCCATTTTTTATCAGTTTCATTTAAATAGTGAACCATATGGTTTTAAGTTCTAGACTCGCTACCGAAGGCTAACTAACTTTTAATAACCAAAAATAGGAAATTATTATATGTATAGTAATTTTTGACATTGATTAAAAACATGGATGTTGTCTAGCGGTTGAATGTCTTGGCTTATATCATGTAAGAGGTGCAAATTCGATACCAGTAGGAATAATTTTTTTACGTTTTACTCAACAGGGGGTATATTTGTCATTATACCATGTTTTCTCGAAAAATCAAATAGGACTAAAGGAAATTTAACTAAAAAGCCATTTGTTTTCTACAAATTTATTTGACAAAGAGATTTTTCTTGTACAATGCGGTTAGGGGTGGAGCCATGATTTTCATATAAGGGGGCTTGCATCTATATTTTCTTTGGCAATATCAAGATTAACAATTCTAAGTTAAAGACAAAGTAAGTTAATAATCAAGTCATAGATCGGAATAGATGTATAATACCAACAACCCAAAAAACTCAAAAACAACTAAGGCATAAAAGTCACATAGAAGCATAGTCAAATATAGAGGTAATGGCCAAGGTGTGTATGAGTGTGTGTGGTTGTGTGTGTGTGAGAGAGAGAGAGAGAGAGAGAGATTTTGCAAGTAAGAAAGAAATAGAGAGTTACATACAACGAGAGGTCGAGAGCGCAAGATGGAAACCAATGAGATCTCAATACAACGAGACAACGTCTATGGAGAGCAACAATTTACGTACGACGAATTATTATCAGTGTTACGAGAGATTGATAATTGATGTGGAGATGGCATAGAGTGGTTAGGGTTTATATTTTTTAATTTGAGATTTTTCTTCTTTAACATTTTGTGGGTTTAACAAAACGGTGTGTGTTTTCTTGAACGGAAGTGTTTTAAATTTTTGGTAGAATTAAATTTGTAATTATGATTTTTGAGGCTTTGAATTTTATATTAGATTATCTTTTGTGATAACTTTTTGAATAAAATGAAAGCCTTAAAATTTGTTAATTGTTATCATTATTTGTTATTTTGTAATTTGTTTTAAAAAAATGATTTTGAAAGAAGGGGGTATCCATTCAACCACAAAAGGGGCATGTAAGTTTACATAAAAACTTCCACCAAACATGCTACTTGTTCTTTTTACATAAACACAAAATAGACAGATTTTGGTCTATTTCTTGTGCAACTACAAGTAGGGCATTGTGATTATTGGCCCACAATAATGACGCCATGAAAAATAACACCTACTAACATGAATGGGCGGCGGTCTTCTTAGGCGTTATTTGGTGTTATTAGGTGCAATAACAGGCGTTGCCCACTCCTAGCAGCCTTAAGAGACAACCACACTTATACGACACCATGAAAAATGATGGGACAAGATGATTACGAGAAAAGGTGATGGCCGCACATAAAGCTCAAGTACAATATTTTGAAGAAAGTTGACATCATCCGTAACGTCCTATTAAAAAAAAAGTAAATAAACATATTTAAAACCATAATTTTCAACCTTTGGTTGTAATAAACATTTGTAAAAAAACATTATTGATATCGTCATCTCATTAAACTTTCAAAATGTAATATAGAATTTAAAATTTGATTCATATGATTATGTTATTTATATATAACATCTAACCTAAATATAATAAAAGAAAAATCTCAAATTATAAACTATTAAAAAATTGGGATAATGACTTGAAAGGGTAACCAATTATATCATTCGGGCATATTTGGTCAGTTAATTATTTTTCATGCATTTTTAACGCTAAGCTTGTTATTTTGTTTTGTTTAAAAACATACAGTCATTACATGCAAGAACAGGTAAAACATGCTTTGGGGAGTTGCAACTCCAACGACATTTCTGACATTCTTATCTCCGATCATCTTCTCCGGTCACATTGAATCTGGAACACACTAGCAGAAAGTTGTCGGTGCACCACCGTTGAAGAACCATCATGAGCCACCAATGAACTACTAGGTTCGTTTTTCTCCTATAGATTACAACCCTTTCTCCCTTCACATTGTCATATAAAGTTCCAAACTTGAAGAAGTATTTGGAAACTAAAGTTTAGAAAGATGATCATAATCAAGTAAATGAAACAAAAACAACCTCTCTTTGTAATCGCGGTTTTGCTTTAGAAGTTCCAAAGTCATGGAACGAATAGAAACAAGGGTAAATTACATGAATGGTCCTTATGGTTTGGGGTAATTTGCATGCTTGGTCCCTAACTTATTTTTTTTAACTCGAAAGGTCCTCATTGTTTGTTTTTGTTGTACACTTGGTCTATGTCTTACCTAAAAATACTATTTTGCTCTTGATTTTTTAATTTATTTAAATAAACATACCATCAACCTCACTTCCACCTTACCTTACTTTACCCACCTTATTTAAATAAATTATTAAAACCAAGGGCAAAAAAGTCTTTTCAAGTAATAGGACTTTCCCCTTTTCAAATTATAGAACATTGTGTACATGAAGTAATACAAAGTTTATAAGAAAAAATTACGACTTGATTGGCAACTTCGGATGATTGGACTTAATTAGTAGCTTTAGATGGTTGAAAACCATCCCATAACATACAAACTGAGTCGCATTGGGACATGTACCGATCAATTTAGTGTTACAAAAAACACCATCATCTCCACTTTTCCTTTTCCACAACACCCTCTCGATGCTTCCACAAACCTTAAAATAAACAATTAGATGTAATCATGTATGAAATTTCAAACTTAATTTTTGTTACCATGGGAGGTGGGATCTTTGATTAGGTTATAGAGTGGTTGAAAGATGTCGAAAATAACCATCTTGAGACTTGGGTGTTGTGATACAAGTTGGGTTGCGGTTAAATTTATCTTCTTGTTAAACGATTGAGCATCTGTGTTGATCTTCACTATAATACCCTTTCCATGGGATCTGAACAAAATTATTCTCACTGCCAGCAAGCATCCAAGTGGTGGGAGCGATACCACTCTGATTCTCCTTGCTCCTAATCCATACAAATTCTTTTTTTTTTCTTTGTAAATTGTAATCAATTAGTAAAAGCTACGATAGTAAAACACCCAAATGATGGTTTCAAGAATTGGTTATGGAGGATTAGGATTAATTTTAGCTTGGTGAAGCTTGAAAAGATTCGGACGAGGTAGGATCCGTATTTGAAAAAAAAAACCCATTTCAGGCGCCCGCCGGAGAGGTCGCCGAAGCTTGTATCCGTCGGAAATATCGTTGGAGATGAAACCCCAAAACAGATCTTACCTGCTATTGGAGGTAATAGTGGTGTGTTTTAAACAAAAACACAAATCTAAAGGTTAATAATGCACCAAAATATTATATGACCGAATATGTTCAAATGCTACAATTGATTGCTATTTCAAATCATTCTCCCTAAAAAATTTGATACTACAAAACTTAGTTATTTTCGGTAATATATATTTGTCCTAAGAATTTATTTCTCCACATAATTGCGTGGAGCAAAAAAGTAACAAAAATAACTATGGTGGTCACGTGCAAAGCTCGTGCTCAAAATAGGAAAGTAAAGCCCTCTCCTCCCTTTCTGCCTTTTCCGTTTGCATTCCTGCAAAACACAGCAGTCGCTTTTCCCTTCGTTCTGAAAAATCTCGATCCGTTTCTATACCGTTAGGGTTTCGGCTCACTAAAGCTCCACATAATCCGTACCATTTGTGGGATCGAGCTCCGCTGATCTTCATCATGAAGCTCACCGTAAAGACTCTTAAAGGGAGCCACTTTGAAATTAGGGTTCAACCTTCCGACACTGTGAGTCCCCTTACTCCTAAATGTGTTTGCAATTCTTTTCCAAATAGACCAAAATTACTGATTTTGATGTGTTTACATATGATTAGAGAAGCACGCATGTCATATCTTTCCCATACCTCGTAGTTTATTATCCAGTCTGTATGTTTTCTCTGTGAATCTGAACCTTTATGTCTACCATTATGTAAAATTGACGAAGAAAGTCTGGAACTTTATCTTTAGCAATGATGCATCTAAGTTCTTTCTCCACATACATTACTAATACAATACTTCTTACATTACCAGATTATGGCAGTCAAGAAAAACATTGAAGATGTACAAGGAAAAGATAATTATCCATGTGGGCAGCAGTTATTGATTCACAATGGCAAGGTTCTAAAAGACGAAACTACATTATCAGATAACAAAGTCTCAGAAGAAGGTTTTCTTGTTGTCATGCTAAGCAAGGTAACTCTCTTACTTATTTAGTTATTTACAGTGTTAATTTTTACCTTTTTTTTTTTTTTTTTTAAACCTTCATATCATAATTCTGTTTACTTCCATCTCCCAACAGACTAAAAGTTCTACCTCAGGTGGAACTTCATCTACTCAGGTAAACTTTTATATCTATCCTCTTTATATATAAATCTTCACTATATAAATCTCATATTAGTAAATTACAAAACAGCCCCTTCCAACAACTGCATCAGCTTCCAATCCCACCAGTACATCTTCTTCTATCCCAGCAACAGCAACAGCAACAGTAACACCACCTGCTGCACCACCGTATGAGCTTTTTGTCCAAAATTCTTTTTCATTTATTTTTTAAAAGAAATTGCTAATAACATTCTAACTTGTGTTTTATGAAACTACAGTGTTATTTCTGATACATATGGTGAAGCTGCTTCAAATGTAGTAGTCAACAATAGTAGTGTTGACCAAACTGTTCAACACATAATGGACATAGGAGGTGGGGTTTGGGATAAGGAAACTGTCACTCGTGCACTACAAGCTGCTTACAATAATCCAGAACGAGCTATTGATTATTTATATTCTGTATGTTTCCAAATCATCTTTTTTTAAATATCTTTTAAAACTTATAATACACTAATATTGTTCCAATTTTTTTCTTTCAGGGTATTCCAGATACAGTAGAAGTTGCAGTTCCTGTGACTCAACTCCCTACTACTCAAGTTGCACCTCTTTCTGGAGGACCTAATTCATCTCCTTTGAACTTGTTTCCTCAGGTTACTAATCATTGAGATGTTTTTTTTATTGATTTTATATTTGTAGTTGATGTAGATGATTATTTGTTTTGGATTTATGTGCAGGAAATGCCTTCAAGTGGGACAGGTGGCAATCTTGGATCCCTTGATTTTCTTAGAAACAACCAACAGGTGGTATTTATGTATCCAAACCTCCAAATTAATTTCATTTTTTTTTATGCTGAATTAGTTATCAGTGCCAATGTGGCAAATTAGTTGATATTATATAATTTATTAATCATTTAAATTCCAATCTATGTTTCAGTTCCAAGCATTGCGAACTATGGTACAATCAAATCCACAAATACTACAGGTACACTTTTTATTATTTTTTCTTTATTTTACATAATCTTTTTTTTTTTTTTGTTACTTTTTAAATATAGTTTTCATTTGTTTCAGCCTATGCTTCAAGAGCTTGGAAAACAAAACCCTCAGCTTTTAGGATTAATCCAAGAAAATCATGCTGAGTTTCTTCAACTAATCAATGAACCTGTAGATGCTTCTGAAGGGTGAGTAAACTATTAACTATACTATAATTACTATTACAAATTTAAAATAACAATCGAATTATTTTAGTAAAATAATTTAAGAGGCTGTATTTGATTATGAATTAAAAATTGTACTTTGAACTTTTATTTTAGGGATCTGTTTGATCAACCGGATCAGGAAATGCCACATGCTATCAGTGTCACTCCAGAAGAACAGGAGGCGATTGAACGGGTAATTTATATTTATATTTTTAATTTTAATAATATATAGTTTTATTTTTGAATTAGTTAATTAATTTTTGTTGTGTTTTCAGCTTGAGGCAATGGGTTTTGATAGAACTCTTGTTATTGAGGCGTTTTTAGCATGTGATCGAAATGAGGAATTGGCTGCTAACTTTTTATTGGAGAATGCTGGTGATTATGAGGACTAAATATAGATCACAAATCTATGTATTCTGAAAGGTATATATATATATATATATATATATATATATATATATATATATATATATATATATATATATATATATATATATAATATATTGTTGTTTTTGTTTTACTTATTTGATATAATATATATATATATATATATATATATATATATATATATATATATATATATATATATATTTTTATATTTGCAGGTGATTTTGACTTGGGAGGTTTTATGAAACGCGACAGAGACCCATTTTAGGTGGTGGTTTATACAGTTTGGACGTTTATTGTATTGTCCACGGAACTGAAGCTTTCTTTTTTCTTATTTATTTGCGTTGTCTTATTTATTTTTTTTTCTTTTTAATTTTATTTTATACTTCTCCCAAATATGAAGGGATGAACAGGATTTTGTTTGTGCATTTCAGTTGACTTGTGTGACCCTGATTTTTTTTTAGTGTCTGACCAGTTTGTTACTTCTAATGTCCCGACTTACTTTTCTTCAAAGTATCATTTTCAGTTTGTTGATTATGTTTAAAAACCTTAAATCATCGACAAACAATGTAAGAGATGTAACATATCATATGCTTTATGAAAGTCAAAGTCAAGTTGTCAACCATTATCATGGTTCTAAAAGTTGTCTTAGGGTTTGGATTAACATAGATGGCTACAAAATACAAATGAAGATCAATGGAGATAAAGAGGTTTTCTTTTGAAGAAGTGTTTAAGTGTCATAGGAGGATTGCTTTTGCAAGGTTAATCATTGCAAATACATGAAATGTTGGTAGCATCACGTGTGTTGTAAATGATGATGGTACACATATTGAAATACATTACATAACTTGATTTTCGGGACCAAAGTGGTTAAAAATTAAAGATGATGACCAAATCTGTAGTACTTGGATAACCGTAATGGCCATTTATAAAATTCACTTAATAATTTATTAAACTTTATGATTCTTTAGAGTATACGTAAGTTGAGTTTTTTAAGGAGTTTTTTCAAAAGCTTTTTTAAACTAAAAAGATTTTAAATTTGAAAAAGGTATTAGAGTACCTTTTTTAAGTCGAAGTTTTTTCTGAAACCTTGTTAATTTACATTCTCTTACCAAGAGATTTTTCTATGATTAGGTAATAGACAACTAATTGTGAACCACAAAATAAGCAAATTTACCGAAGAAGCTCTTTCATAGTTTTATTACGGAGATCAATGAATTTTTTTTAATGAAAACTCTACCAAAAAAACCTCCTGTTGTAGAAAATATAATATACTTTTATTATATTACCAATTCAATTCAAATACTTCCTTTTATGCAGAATTTCATATATGCTCTTATTAAATATAAAAATATCATATTTATAAAACCTAAATCCTAAATATCATGTTTATCCTTTATAAACTTTATAAATTTCAAATTTACCCAAATTCATTTTCTAATATTTTATAATCATTATAATGATTAATAAAATTATATGACCATATCACCTGGTTTCCAAATTGTTTCGATACTCTTTATCCAATATCACAAACACGATGCTATCTCTGCCATATCAGCCCCTGAATCGTCTCCCCCGTCTTTTATTGTTAAAGTTTCATTGCAAGAAGTGAAAGCGCCAAAATAAATAAAATCACTTCAAATGGTTTAAGTCTTGAGGTGGATTAAAGAAATCACACATGCTATTCCGATCAGAGGGATATATCTAGATGCATGCTTAACACAACAAACCAATAGACTCTATTCATCAAAACTTCTCTGGACACTATCGATTTTGAACGGGGGCATTCAAAAACAAGTCGACCTTCTATTTGGAGTCCTTTCTTCTACTTTGTATGGTGAATCGAAGGGATAGCAATGAGAACACACACAAACCTGAGAGTAAATGTTGTTGTTCATCATCAAGTTTTTCTAACGTGGATCGAAGGATGGGACAACCATTTGTGCAAGGGTGGGTCTATCAACCTTACAGGAGTTCTGGGTGTTGGCTGTGATTTACAAAGAAAAAAAATACATCTGGACTTGAGTTAGAAAAGGGAAAGGACTGTAAATTTTTTTTTGGAGACTACAATTTACACAACAAATAAACACATTTGTTTTTGGGAAACAAGACTAGAACATGGGTAGAGATAATATGGTAAATTTAATTATTTTTACAATTAGAATGATTTTAAAATATAAACAATAATTATAAAATATAAAAATAATTAAAAAACAAAATTTGGGTAGATATGATATTTTAAAAGTTTATAAAAGGTAAATATGATATTTAGAAAATAAGATGGATAAATATGATATTTTGATGGTTAATAAGGGTATATACAAAATTAGTTCTTTAATAATATGATATTTAACTATTCAATTTTACAAACTTACTTTTATAAATTTATTACTATTTTTTTTTTACCATTTTATCAATAACTTCACATAAAATGATAAAAGAAAAAGACGATATATATCAAAATATGAAATTTCATTATTTATTATTAGCCAACCATATGTTTTTTGTAATGAATTATTTTATTTTAGTTATTTAATACAATCTATTAAAACTTATTTTATCATAACTTATTATCGCATTATAATTATTAAGTATTAGATAACCATTTTTTAGTCTAATTTATGAAAAAGTCTCAAACTAAATTTTATTTACAGAAAAGCACATAATACCGGTTAAAACTTCGAAAAAACCATTTTCGGCCGGTTTCACAGAAAAGCACATAATACCGGTTAAAACTTCAAAAAAACCCTTTTGGGCCGGTTTCACAGATTTTGCCGATATTCTGTCATTTTTCGTTAGTTTGCTCAAAATTTTGGGATTTTTTTCCAAAAATTACATAATAACCAAAATATTGGAACTTTTTTGAAAATTACCATGAAATTGATGGATATTATTATTAACAAATCATTTATAAACATAAAAAAAAATTATTATAAAAAAGAAAATACATTTGTTACTAATTTTTAGGAATAAATTGGTGGTCTAAGTACTCTATTGCTTCCTGACCATTCAAACTCTTTACGTTCTTCCTATGCATTGTTGTGGGTATGATGGTGAGATGAACTTAGTTAACATTCCTCTAATGTTTGTGTTCCTCTTATGTTGTTTAACTTAACTACCAACCAACATTCATACCATCAACTAACACACATCTATAAAATGTGGAAAGTGAACTGTGAATGATAATTTATATGGAAAAAAGTGAAGGGTTATTATCTATTTAAATTGTCATTCAAACTTTAATTTTCACTCTCGATAGATGTGTGTAATTTTATGGTTGTTATCGGGTAATGTTTGGAGGTTAAGTGATAGTTAGGTTAAAGAACATAATTAAAGATCTATATTTTCGTTTAATGATATTTTCAGATAACATGATATCATATAGCATCATGCCTAATACCAAGTAGACACTTATTGATTGTGTATTAATAAATATTATCAACTCTTGTATTGGTCACGCCTAACAAAGTACTTCTCACTATGATACCCACAACAATACATAGGAAAAACATAGACTTTGAAGTAGTGAACAAACAATAGAGAAGTACATAGTCGACCATTTTATTCCTAGAAATTAGCAACAAATGTATTTCCTTTGTTTATAATAAAAAAATTATGTTTATAAATGATTTGTTAATAATAATATTCACTAATTCCATAGTAATTTTCAAAAAAGTCCCAATATTTTGGTTATCGGGTAATTTTTAGATAAGTCCTAATATGTAGCACCTGGTTCCTGCTTTGTAAATCTTATTTGAGTATTTCCCATTTTAGCCTTGGACTCGGCGAGTCATAGGTCCGACTCGCCGAGTAGGGACGAGACCCAAGACACGTTTAAGTTGGCGACTCGGCGAGTCCATATCCTGGACTCGGCGAGTCACCGCTGTTGGATGAAACCCTAAGTTTCAGGGGTTTGCACCCTATTTAAACCTCATATCCGCCCCTTGCCAGCCCCCATTCACCCCCAGAGCTCCCAACCCTCGTCCTAAGCTTGTTCCTTGAGAGTTTGAGGCTCTTGTGTGTATTCTTGAAGGTTTTGAGGCAAGAAGGGGAAGAAGATCAAGAGGAAGGAGAGCCATCCAAGCATCATTGTGTTTTTCAGCTATTTCATTGAGGTATATCTCATTTTCCCCCTGTTTCTATGCTTAAGATTTCATTTAAGACACTCTTGAGCAATTCCCCAAGCTTGTTTGTGCATAATGTTTTGTAATAAGTGGATTGGCCTTTAGATCTAGGCAAGATTGAGCTCCAGGAGCTCAGATCTGTTAGCTTTATGGACCCATGTGCTTGTTCATCCTAGATCTACCCTTTTGAGGCATTTTGAACCCTAAAATCCATATTGGTGAATATCTACACGTAAAGTTGGAAACTTTACGTGTGATTCGTGTCTTAGAAGCCCAGATCTATGAATGGTATGGACTGAAATCGAACAAATCCGTGTATTTAATGGATGCATGGCTACGACTCGGCGAGTCTGCTCGCGAGTCACCGAATTGGTCCCTTTATGCCGTATCGAGTTTGAGCAGTGAGTCACAGGGGGTGACTCGGTGAGTTGGAAGCTGAACTCACCCATGGTAGGACTCGGCGAGTCATGGCCTGGCTCGGCGAGTCCAAGGCAATCTTTATAGATCAAGAATAGACTCGGCGAGTTGTTCATACAACTCGGCGAGTCTAAGCATGAGTGTTCATTGGATGAAGATGAACTCGACGAGTTGTTCATACAACTCGGCGAGTAGGACGAAGAACTTCAATGTCAGTTTAAAAAGAAGAACTCGTGGAGTCATAGCCTAACTCGACGAGTAGAATCAGGGACTCAGGACAATCGTCTGGATAGGAACTCGGCGAGTTGGAGAGCCAACTCGGCGAGTCGGGTCAACTGAAAGTTGACTCTGATTTTGACTTAGGGCTAGACCAGGGGTAAAATGGTCATTTTACCCAAAGGACAGTTAGCAGTGTGTGATTGAGTATGTTGTGGGAATTGCAGTCGGAGGAGTTCCGGAGCAGCAGCAGTGGTCAGTTAGTTCCCGATCAGTTCAGCAGCTACTTTGAGGTGAGTTGCCTTCCAGTAGCGGTGGGTCTAAGGCCACAATGCCGGCCCACCAGTAGGAGATGTGTGATTAGATGATTGTCTTTGTGATATTCATCTAGGGTTGCTAGACTATGTGATATATGTGTTATGTGGTAGTAGTAGGGGGTGAAATAGTCCCCAGTATTCGGTTGAAAGGACCGAAGGGGAGGCCAGCACCCAGATATGCTAGGTAGTATCCGGTCGAAAGGACCGAATGGGAGGCCAGCACCCAGATATGCTAGGCAGTATCCGGTCGAGAGGACCGAAGGGGTAGGTCGGGCACCCAGATATGCCTGACAAATTTACGTATGTTGTGATTATGTGGTATGTGGTACAATGGGGGAACTCACTAAGCTTTGTGCTTATGTTTTACAGTTTTGTTTTCAGGTACCTCTTTTTCGAAGGGGAAGGAGCTGGCGCGGTAGCGGCACATCATGCACACACTCTGGTTTCCGCATTTACGAGATTCACTGGGATTTGTACTCTGATATTTTGATGGGTTGTATGGTTTGGCTTTTAAACATGGTTTGCGTTGTGTTGTGGTTTGATCAAACAATGTTTTAATTATTAATGTTTTCTAAAGTAAGGTTTTAAAACGAAATTTTTGGACGTGAAAATTGGGTCGTTACAAGTTGGTATCAGAGCCCTGGTTTGAGGGATTCGGACTCACCTTCGGGGGTGTCTGAACTCAA